ACAAATGTGCAGTAGATATATGGGATTGCTACCAGAACCCAACATACCCTCTGTGACATGATGACAGTGTAGAGGAGAGGGTTACAGGTGGCCACATAGCGATCATAGGACATCGCAGACAGAATAAATAGCTCACAAGCAATGAACACAAGAAAGAAAGCTAGCTGTGTAGCACAAAAATGATAAGAGATGGTATTTTGATCCACAACAAAATTTTCCAACATTTTGGGGCCCACAGCTGTAGAATAACCAAGATCTGTAATAGCCAGGTGCCTGAGAAAAAAGTACATGGGTGTTTGCAGATTTTGGTCCACTTTGGTGAGGATGGTCATGCCCAAGTTGCCCAACACTGAGACCAGGTAGATGATGAGGAACAGTCCAAATAATGGAGCCTGCAGCTCAGGGCGTGATGTGATGCCCATCAGAATGAACTCATGCACCACTGAGAGGTTTTGTTTCTCCATTCAAGCTTATTATAAAACCTGTTCTGTATAGAGATATCAATAGATTTCAAATATTATCACCTGGGGACTTTCAAATAGTATCACATTATTAAGCAAGTTTGGTGTAAATAAGATACATGGAAATTTTTCCACTTAAAATTTTTTTGAAATAAACTCCCTTAAAAAAGAAAGATATGTATAAATAGTGTAAAAGACAGAGGTATATTTGTGGTGCTATTTAGGTTTCTTTACTCACAGGTATTTTGTTTATGCAGGAGATAATTTGCACAAGTTGGGAGGTGACCTGCTATTTGCATCTAATTGGAGGCTAGTTTAGTTTCTAAATATCCTGATATATTCAATATCCAGTCCCAAGTATCAACAGCTCCAAATGTAAAATTTCCAGAGAGAGGCAGAGGCAGAGAGAGAGGGAGAGAGATAGAGACAGAGAATAATTAGAGATGATAAATAGAAAGAGAGGCAGATAGATAGAATGGGCAAATATTATAAAAGTTTAAACACAATAGTAACTTTGAGTAACAGATAAATCAAATTATTGCACTTCAGTTTTTCATTTGCCACTATGTAATTTTAATCAAATAGAAACATTTAGTAATCATGTACAGTAATAATAAGAATTTTAATTATAAATATGCAAAGAACTCTCTAATTCAAATGCTGTTCTTTTAATCCTTATGCATATAGGTATTAGAGCAGAATATCATTAAACATTTGGTAGATACTAAACAGATATGTAAATAAGAAAATTATAATGGATCACACTGCAAATATTTTTATGCCAAGAAATAAAGCAGAATATATGTTTGTACATAGAGTCTCAGTTATATTTGAACTTAGTGTATACCAAAGTAGTTTTTTGGCAAATAATTTATATAAAACTATTCATTCACATATACAAACCAACATGTCCTTTCAGGGGCTTGGGGAAGAATAAAGGAGGATTAATTTTTCAGTGTAAAATTTAAAAATAAAGTACTTAGGTATGGCAATTATCAAATTTTATAATTGTGAAAAGAATGATATTTCCTCTGAATAGCTTGCGAGTTTTAAAAATGTAACAAATCGCTTCATTCTAGTTTACTATCGTTGCTGTATACTTGAATTTTCATTTTTGACACTATAGTTTTGAGAAAAATTTAGTCAGATTTCACTGTAAAATGAATAACATTTTGTCATCATGTTAACAGCAGATACGTACAGTATCCTGACAATCAAACAATGCTTTGCACACATACCTCAATGTGACATGGGAACTTCATTTCCTCATCAGGACATCTGGGATGGATCACATCTATATATTTATCTGCACAATCACTGAATATTCAAGGACTTTCCATGTTGTCATCAAAAGAATCTAAAGTTAGTATATGCAAAGACACCACTGATTTTCAAATTTTGCAAATAAATAGGTTATATCCCATTTTTAATTCGTATCACCTCTAAGTTTTGATCTCCATTAGATATAGTTATATATATATATATATATATATATATATATATAAAATTAATTTTTTGAGAAAACACACACGTGTGTTTCAGAACTGCTTATAACAGCATAGGCAAAATATTTAGAAATGAATATAAAGGAAAAAACAATAGGTCCTATTTCTGCAGCTGTTAAGTAGTTGTAGAAAGCATACAATCATGAATGACCACTTATATTACATAGAAAATCCATAGCAAAATATGACAATTCCAGTAGGTTCTGGTAAGGCATAGTGCCACCTAAACCTTCTGTGATATTACCTGTAATCAAACCTCTCTCTTGATTTTTCAATGTGTTTCTGAACATGAGGTTTTGAAAGCAATTTATACATTTTAAAAAAAAAATATTTTTTTTAATTTCTAAGATTCCCTGAGGAGATTTCAAGTAATTTGCTGATTATATTTAAAACATTTGAGAGCTTAATGAAATACCTGGAGGTTATCCACTAATTGTCAGAAACAATTTATAATTAACTATGACTTCACTTATGTATTCATATAATTATTTAATTATATATTTATTTTATACTTTATCAATCCCACTTATAGGTTTTATCAAATGTGTTGGTAATAAGATCTCAAAGCAATTTTATATTCTCATTTTTATTGCAGCATCTTTCTAAATATCTAACATGTGCAAGCAACTTAATCATCCATTCTTTTAATACATTGAATATGGTATATAGACAAGAGGTTATATTATTCAACCTTAAGAATTACACCCTTCTTTCTTTCTTCTTTCTTCTTTTACCAGTGTATATGATTAAACTGAGGAGTGCTATACCATTGAGCTATATCCATGGCCTATTTTTATTTTATTTTATTTTGTTTATTTGGGCGCAGGATCTACCTAAGTGTGCAGAGACTGGCCTTAAGCTCGATTCTGCGTCAACCTTCTGCAATGCTTGGGTAATAGGCATGGGCCACCATGCCTGGCTCATCTTAGTCAGTTTTAATTTTTCCCATAATAATCATAGTTTTCAAAATTGAAACTATTTGGACACACCTCTTCCTATTAATCATGATTTTTAACCTGTCATTTTCTTTCTGTGGCCTGGGGTAAGCACTATCTACCATTTCTCCTTCTCATACATTTATCATTGGTGAGCCATAAATTCACATATTTATCTATAAAATATACTTTAACTTTACAGATATTTTAAGTGAGGATATATGATATGCTATGCTAACAAAAGTCATCTTCTACATGTTTATTTTTCTAAACTTAGTTGTTTGATTTTCGATTCATCCATTTAATTCTTTTAGCTGGATCATATTATCTGCCATTCCTGAATAAATAAATACTAGATATTTACAAACTGTTTTCAAATTGACTATTTATCTTACAGTCCCATAAGGAGAGTGGAAATGTTCCCTTAGTCCAGTTTTTCATAATTGAAGTTTCCATCTTTTTAATTACTGTCAATTTTAAGCACATGTAAGATTATCTAATTTCATTTCATATTAACAGTTTCCAAATAATTATTAAAATACATACACTGTGCACATAAGTTTCTTCTTTTGTGATTTGTTTAATATGGATATTTGTTCATTATTTCATTAGTCAATTATATATTAAATCAACACATGTATCTATTTTCTCAAATTGCAGTTTATTCTTTTAGTACATTTGTGATTGATTACTGTAACTCAAATGAAATTTTTAAAGCAAAAAAATTCATCCTTTAAATTTTGAGTTGTATTTAATGAACTCTTCCATAATTTTAAGACATGTATATGTAGGTTCAATACAAATTTACATTGTTTGGATATGTGCAGATAACAGATATCAATATCCATTATTTGGATTTGACATTTGAAGGAATGAGTTGCATGGTACAACGACTCCATGGTGAACCCTCCAAGAGAGGAAAACAAATTTACATGCGTTGTGTAGGACTATATTCTATATGAGATACTCTGTAGTTTTACCATTGTGTTATCATTGACATTTAGTAGTTCCAAATCAATATCCATTGTATTGGATATAATGAAGATTTTTTCTGCTATCATTAATGAATAAATGTAGTATTGAAGGAGAAATTAATTCACAAACTAATTAAAAGTAATGAAGATAAAGAAAAAAAAACAATATCATATAAACTGAAATTTGAGGCATGTATTTTCAAGGAAAATTAGATGTATTGGAAGCAGGATTAAATATGAGTGAACCAGAGATCCTTTTCTGTTATTTTCTTCCAGGAAAAATGATAGTAAGAAACAGTAGCATTGCAACAGCCTCACAGAGTATTAGTGGTCAAGAGAAAAAAAAATAGTCAAAAGCGAGCAGTGGTCAGACCCGAGGGGAGTCTCACAATGGTTGATATGGGCTTAGACCTGGATAAAGCAAAATTGGCCAGCCAGTAGCACACAACTCTCTGAATTGTTTTCCTTTAGTGATTCGTACATTTTAATATAATTTTTAAAAATGCTGATGTATAGTTACTGCAGTCTGTGAGGAGTTAGAGAATAATCTTAGATCAGTGTTGTAGAAGGTATGATAAAAGAGAAAGAAATTCACCCTCAAAACTTATCCCGGTGATGACACCCTGGAATCTGATCAAGTTACTTCTGGTGTCTGAACCACAGGCTGAGTAGTTTGCTGCATGGACATAAGGATATAGCAGATTTCTTTGAGCTAGAATCAGGTACAAATTACTCTACGGAAAATGCCATAGAATTATGAATGCAGTATTATATGATCTAGATAGAGGTTAAACAAACACACACAGCATTTTAAAGCAAATCATACGTAAATATCTGCCAGCATGTGTGGATTTTTTAGCATTTCACTTAGTATCAGCATCAATGCTCACATTTATGTATACATATTCTTATACTGGTATGAACATCGTAAAAATCAAATGGATGTTAAACGTTTTCTGCATGTAAAACAACTTACTAGAAATTATCCATGAAATTTATTTAAAAATGTCTGCAAACAAGAAAATACATTAGCACATTCACATAAACACTTTCATTTAATCCCCTTGACACTGTATACCTATCACACAAATTTTGTCAATATAATTTTAGTATGAAAAGTATGCTTTAATGATAAACATTTTTTTCCCAAACACTCCACATTGCTTCTTTTACATCCTTGTTTCTCAAACTGTAGATGAGAGGATTCAGCATGGGAATAACAATGGAGTAAAATATAGACACTACCATGTCATGCTCCAAAGCATAGTGGGATGTTGGTCTCACATACATGAATACTGCAGTGCCATAAGAAATAGACACTGCAGTTAGGTGAGAGCCACAGGTAGAAAAGACTTTCCGCTTCCCTTCAGCAGAGTGTATCCTCACAATAGCCAACAGAATGAAACCATAGGAGATCAGGATGGTTAGGATAGTACATATCACAATAGAGCCAGCAAAGTAGAAGAGCAGAAGCTGATTGGGGCGGGTGTCAGAACAGGAAATTGCAAGGAGAGGAGGGATGTCACAGAAGATGTGGTTGATTATGTTGGATCCGCAGAAGGACAGGCTGAAAGTGGCTGTGGTGTGTGTTACAGCGTGCAGAATTCCACCAACACAGGAAGCCACGATGAGTGACACATAGACCCTGGGTGACATGCTCACAGAATACAGAAGTGGGTTGTAGATGGCCACATAGCGATCATAAGCCATGGCAGCCAAGAGAAAGCACTCTGTGGTTCCACAGGTTACAGCAAAAAACATCTGGGCTGCACAGGCACCAAATGAAATGGTTTTCTCCCTTGACAAAAAGTCTACCAACATATTTGGAGTGATACCAGACGAATAGCAGGCATCTATTAAAGACAATACACTCACAAAATAGTACATTGGGTTGTGCAGCAGGGAACTCCCAATGACCAGTACAATCAGTCCTAAATTTCCCATGAGGGTGAAAAGGTAAATTGCTAGAAACAGGAGGAAGAAGAAGATCTGCAGTTCAGAATTGTCAGTGAAGCCCTTCAACACAAATACAGTTACTTCAGTGACATTCTTCATGCTGAAATCTCATGGAACACACTCGATGATTATGGTGAAATGACAGCTGATGGTACTATAAAAGAATTAACAACAGTGAATTTAAGGAACATGAACCATGCCTATTGATTGTGTATGTTTGTGTGTGTGTGTGCATGCGCGTGCGCGCATGCACATACACACTTATTTGTCTGCCTGATTTCCAAGCAGTAGATCAGAAGACAGTCATAATGTTGAATGCAGCACTCACAGCATTCCCTGGAGGATCATGTGGATCACAAGGGTGTTTTCACAGTCACTATACCCATGTCGCTTCTTAAATCATCAGGTCAACTGAGTAATTTACCATTGAATTCTATTAGCTCTTTTCATATTTATTCATGTTAAAACACAAGGTATGGGTGAAAAATTCCTTCTGACATCTGAAAACACGAGCTATTGTCTGGGGTTGTGTCTCAGTGGTAGGGTGCTCGCCTAGCAGGTGTGAGACACTGGGTTCAATCCTCAACACCACATAAAAACATAAATTAATAAAACAAAGGCATTGTATCCATGTACAACTAAGAATATTTAAGAAAACATGAGTTATTATGTCAGGGAAATAGCTTTGGAACAGAATCAGAATTTTATATCAATTATCAACTGTTTAGAATGATTTGCTATAATTGACTCAATTATGCAATGTAAAATTCAATATTTATTTACAAGATTGTAGTTAATATTCATGGACAAATTTTTTGAAATCTAAATCTGTTGAATGGCTTGAATTATAGAATGTGCTAACTTAGGTTCATTTATAGAGTAATCTATCAGGAATAAATTCAATTAAACACTTTTAGAAATATGAATTTTTCCATGAATACATTGTATATTTCTGAATTACTCTTTAAAGAATAACAATTTGTGTGAAAACAATACACATGCAAACTATCACAGTTCTATTTTCTACATTACAGTGGCTTATTATTGCTTTGAATAAATAAGATATTTCAGATAAATTCCTCATGGGACAGGAATTCCAATTAGATGTTAAAAGAAAGTTATACTGTAAGAATAAGTCATAGTGACACTGTATTCAAAGACTTCAGAGAGATAAAGAGAAAATAACTATGATAAAGTTATAAAATTAGTGTACATAAATCCGATTTAAGTAGAAGTTAGAGAATACCACATACATTGGGCTTCATGAGGAAACACTATATTTTCAATAGAGGACAAAAATCATAATAACTATTTGATGCATGGACTTTCATGAACATTGCATTATTTCACGTAATAGCAAATTTTTCAGGTGATGATTTTCAGAACTAAAATGCCATCCCACCTCCGGTTCAGGAGTGCATGCTTTTTCCCGCATGTTCAACTGAATCCTGTAACACTGTGGCTCCCTTGTGCAAATGCACTCCTTCTTCTCAGGGAATTAAGGCAGAACCTTATTCATGATGGATTTGACCATTCTTAGACTATTAAAAATAAAGATATGTTAAGAGAAAGTCATACTATGAAAGATCACTAGATCCCATAGCTAGGATTTAAGTTTTACTAAGTCATTGCTTCTTAACTATTATACCAAAATATAATACCCACAGTGGTTTGATATATCAAACATTTTCTCACAAGCTAGTGATCCATTTATGACTGTCCTTACTTTTAAATATATCAATCTGTCAGAAAAAAATAAAAATACTCCTGCTAAGGAGCACACTTATTTGCCTATACAAACACAAATTCAGTATTTTCCTTTTTTTTAACTCCTTACCATGAAGTTGGTTTAATGTAATAAATGAATTTTGATGAATACATGTGATTTATACTTGTAAGAACCAGGTACTTAGTACTTGAAGTTCAGCAATTATAATGTTTAATATAAAGTAACATAGTTTCTAATTGCAAGTTTATGTGCTAGCTCCAAAATACCTGTCAAATTATCTGAAATATTCTCTTACTCAAGAAAGAGCAACACAGTTTCAGGTACACTGTGAATATGGCTAATTTAGATTGCTTATATCCACTTATGGAACTTGATGAAGCCCACAGGAGATGCCCCAAGGGAATATGCCCCAGTAGTCTTCTGCTTTAATATAGCAATACAAAGATTTATTTCATAACAAAAAAGTAAATGTTTCTGCTGCTGTTAATTAAGCAAATAGTGTTCTGCTTTGACTGTTGTTAAATGTTTCAGATTTGCATTTCCCTGATGATTAGTGACATGCAATATGGAATGTCTTTCTATACATATGTAAGCCATTGTTTTCACTGAGGAAACATATTATCAAGACCTTTGCCTACTTATAAATCAGATATATTTTTTCTTCCTTAAAATTTTCTTATGTTTTCAATATTGAGTTTAAAATATAGTTTGCAAATATTTTATCCTGTTTTATTGTTTGCTTTTCCACTATGGTCATTATTTTCTTTGCAGAAATGTTTTTGGATGGATATAGATCTAGACCTAATTGTCTAAATTTTTTGTCACTGTTGGTTTTTATGGTGTCATTTCAAGAAATTATTGCCAACCCCACAGTCCTGAACACACAATCCTAAAGATTTTCCCTGATGATTTGTTCTGGGCATTTTACTTTCAGGTCTTTAGTATAAAACTTGAATGCAATTTTTTTCTTTTATGTTTATTTTATTTTTATTTTTTAACGTTCTCCCCTGTAGTCCTGGGGATTCAATCCCACAGCACTCTACCACTGAACTACTTACTATTCCAACCCTAATTATTTGTTTTATATATTTATTTCTTTGTTTTTCAAGGACTGAGGATTGAATTCTGGGGTGCTTTACCACCATTACAAACATTACCAACCTTTTTTTCAATTTTTAATGTTGCTCTAAGTCTCCCTAAATTGAAGATGCTGGCCTCAAACTTGGATTTCTCCTGCCTCAGCCTTCCAAAGAGTTGGATTTGCTAGAATGTGCCACCATGCCCAGCAATTTTCACCCATTTTAAGCTGATATTTCTATATGTTATATAAGGAGTGTCTCATTTCATGTTTTTTTCTGCATATGAATATTCCATTTCTCAACATTTGTTGAAGAAACTCTCCTTTCCTTATGGTTTATCTTGGCACCCTGTTGAAAACCAGTGGGAAGATATATATATAATAGTGATAACTATTTGGTTAGCTATCCTTTTCATAGCTAAATAGTGTTCCATTATGTGTATATACAACATTTTCTCTATTCATCTCTCAGTTCATGGACACTTGGTTTGCTCTCAATTGTGCTTCATTGCCTAAAATGTCTTCCTTATGCCCATTCCTTATGTTTTTATTCTTTGCATTATAACTTCATATTAACTGATATGTAAGTCTGCAAATTATCCATATCGATGATATTAATGTGGGCACCATGCAGTGTTTTTATGCATTTGTGTATTGTATAATATTTCACCATGTTAAATGTGTTTTCCTCAAAAACCTGTTATTTCTTGAATATGAGTCATTAAAAACCCTTCTAGGTTTTGAAATATGCAGTAATTATTGCTGCTATAATCACCCTTCTGTGCAATATCAGAATAGTAATTTTTATTCCTATACAAATGTGATTTAGTACTCACTGATCAACATTTCTCTCCTGTTCTCTTTGCTCATATTGTTGCTTGTCCCTGATAGCCACCATTCCACTCTCAAAGTTTATAAATACAACTATTTAAATATCAACTATAAATCAAAAAATGAGATAACTTATATCATGCACCTGGTTTATTAAAAAAATAATGAAATTGTAACTATGTTGTCAATAGTGACAGGATTTCATTCCTTTTTGTAGTTAAATAGTGTTCCATAATAGTGTTCCAAAAGAGAAAATGTATACACAACATTTCATGGACACTTGGTTTGCTTCCAGTTGATGGCTTTTATGAACCATGCTACAGTGAACATGGGAGTGTGTATGTCTTCTACACACCGACTTCTTTTCTTTGGATGTGGAACCGGTAGCAGGGTTGCTGGATCATATGGTAGAGCTATCTTTAATTTTTTGAAGAACTTCTATATAGTTTTTTAATAATGATTGCACTAATTTAATTTAATAATTTAAATTCCCACCAATAATATGCAAGTTTCCTTTTTTACCTCATGCTTGCCTATACTGGTTATATTTTTTTATAATAATCATTCTTATTGAGGTAAGGTGATATCTTACATTGGCTTTATGTGAATTTCCCTGATTATTATCATATTTAATCATTTTTATTCATCCTTTCTTCATTTGTAAATCTTCTTTTGAGAATCTCTATTCAGATTGATTGCCAATTTTTAATTGGGTTGCTTGTCGTTAGAGTTTTTAGAGGTCCTTACATATTCTGGACAGTAGCCCCTTATTGGATACAAATATATTCTTTCATTCTATACATTGGATCTTCACTCTGATGATTGATTCCTTTATGGAAGAGAAACATTTTAGTTTGGCATTATCTTGTAGGCCAATTGATGCTTTTGTTTTTTTTTTTTGTTTTGTTTTTTAAAATGTCTTCCCCAAAAGTCCTTGTCAATTTCAATATTGTGAGGCATTTCTCCTATGTTTCTTTCTGGTGGTTTCATATTTTCAGGTCTTCCATTTAAATTTTTAATTCATTTTGAGTTGATTTTTGTTGCTAATGAGAGATGAGTTCAGTTTCATTATTCTTCATGTTGATATCCAAATTTTCCTCACTACTAATCATTCCTTTTTCTCCTTCAATTATGTATTCTCAAAAGTCCTTTCTTCAAGCTCACTCTCTTATTGTTGATACCTTCTATCACACTTCTAATTTTACTTAAGGCAGTTTTCAGATCAAGGATATCAGCTAAATTTTTTTTGATTGCTTCATTTTATCTTCTAAAAGTCTGTGTTAAAATATAGTCATTGATATGTGTTTCCTTGAAGGCCAATGTGTTAATGTTGAAGGCTATTTATAGGATTTCTATCATAGTGATAACTATTTGGTCATTTTAAGAAACCTTATTTTAATCATTAAGTGAAGTCATTATTTCCAGAATGCTCTTGGTCTTGTTAACATATGATATATCAGGGCAGAAATTAGCTGACCTAGCTTGTCTTTCTAGAAATTCTAAGCA